GGAGCGGGGGCGGGGGGGGAGGGAGGAGGTTCATGCACCCCTGACCCCGACCCCGGTGTGCGCAGCGGGAGCCCAGCGTGGACCTGCTGGAAGCCTTCACCGAGCACTGGAAGGGCATCACTGGCTACCACATGGAGGCCACGGGTGAGTGGGGTGCAGGGAGAGGGTCCCTGTAGGATGGGGTCCCTGTGGTGTGGGAATAAGGCCCCCATGGTGTGGGAAGAGGGTCCCCGTGTCCTGGGAGAGGGTCCCTGTGCCCTAAAATAGGGTTGTGTGGCCTGGGAATAAGTTCCCTGTGCCCAGGGAGGGGGTCTCCATGCCCTGGAACAGGAGCCCGTGCCCTGGATCGGGACCCCAGGGCACCCTGCCGACCCCAGTGCACTGCAGCTGACCTGGCACGCGGGGCTTTGGCATGGGACACCCATTCCCATACCCCGGGAGGATTTATCCAGCCGAGCACTTGGCCCGGCCCCGACCCCCCTGCACACCGGCGGGGTCAGCACAGGGGGTTTGGGTGGGTGCAGATTCTCCTTGGAGCGATTGCAGGCTGGGGCATGTCCCTCTCCGGGAGCGTGCTGCTCTCCGGGAGCACTAAAAGCAGGGCCTGGAATGCTTCAGCCCTTTTCCCAGCAGGATCTCGGTCCTTCCCGCTTGGCTCCCGCTGCCCTTTCCCCTCCTGGGCTGTGCCGGAGGGTCTCCAAGCCTGGCAGTGCCAGGCAGCCCCCCGGACAGCCGGCAGCTCCGACCGCGGCTCTGGCACCGGCGGGGACAGCCGGCGGCTTGCTAGGCCGTGAGCGGAAGGAGTAGCCTCGAGTGCTGCTGGGACTCCACCATCACATTGCCATCTAGCGTCGTCCCCGCTAACAGTGGTGGAGGGGGATTCTGGGCCGGCACGGCTCGGGGTGCTGCTGGCGAGCACCCCACATTTCCACCTGGGCACCCCACCGTGCATCGCTCCCCTTGCCGAGCCCGGCAGCACGCTGCCGGTGCCTTGGGGGGACATGCTGCAGCCCCCCCCCGGATCCTGTGTCTGCAGACGAGAGCATCCCCGCCAGACAGACGGACATCCCCTGGCGCCTCAAGCAGATGCTGGACATCCTGGTGTACGAGGAGAAGCAGCGCCCGGCGGGGGAAGCCGGGCCATGCCTCGAGTACCTGCTGCAGCACAAGGTCCTGGAGACCCTCGGCACGCTGGGCAAGGCGGAGGTGGGTGTACGGGCACTGGGAAAGCCGCTTTGGGGGTGCTGAGCCCCCCTGTGCTGCAGCACCACAGCCTTTTCCACCTGCTTTGCATGGTGCTGCTCAGTAATTTTAATTTTGAAGCTCTTCTAGCCGGGCAATGGGAGTTTGCGGAGCGCAAGCTGGTCGGGGTGCTTTGCTTTTTTTGAGGGGCTGGATTGCTCCGTGTCAGATCCCCATTGGGACCCTTTCTGCTGCTCCTCCGAATGGCTCTTGCACCCCATCACGTCCCTGTGTGCACGGGAAGGGTGTTTTTCACACCAGCAGCCTGTTTGCACAACTGGCACGTTGCTGCTTGGGTTCACAGGACAGGGTGTTTTTAGACGACACCCTCTCAAAGTAAATGTTCCCCAAATATAACAGCTCTGCTGTTCCTTTGTTGCTAATAATAATGAGGCTCCCTATAAATAACCTTTTATTCGAACATAAGCAAACGCTAGTGCAGGGTGGGCTTCAGAAACGCGTGCTGGCCCTTCCGTGGCCACGAGGATTTGGGTTTTTGGGGTGCTGGGCTTTAACTCCCCATCTCTTGCATTGTAGCGGTGGGAAAGGGGAAATAATCCCCTGCCTTTTTTCTCTGCAAGAGAGCTCAATTCAGAGAACTGAGTTCAGTCCCAAATTGCTAAAGGGAGAGGAGCCCAGGGCAGGTGGGAGGTCCTGGGGGGTCCATGGGCCCCTTTGCATCATTTTGAGGGAGCAAAACTGGGGTCTCTGCTGAGAGTGTTCTTGCAAGCCACCCACGCTGACTGCTGGGTGACGTGGCAGGCGATTTGGGGCAATTACAGGGTAATCAGGTACACAAACAGGTAACTGGGCTCTCGCTGATGCCTCTCCCCATCTCCTTCCCAGTACCCCCCCGGGATGAGGCAGCAGGTCCTCCTCTTCTTCAGCCGGGTGCTGGGGCAGGTCCAGCACCCACTCCTGCACTACCTCAACGTGCACAGGCCGGTGCAGGTGAGCTCGGTGCCCGGGGGCTTGTCGGTCCCCGGCTGGCAGTGCCGCCAGCGATGCAGCCTGCTGAGACTGGCCGCATCCCTGCCAACGCTGCCGGGAACCGATGCCCGCGGTAACGGGGCAGCACTGCTGCACCCAGGCAGGGTGGGAGAGCAGCCAGCACCCCAGCATCCCTCTCCCTGCCCTGCCAGAAGCTGCTCCAGCTCAGCGGCGACCGCCTGGGCTCCGGCACAGAGAAGGAGGAGGTGCAGTTCGCAGCCGTCCTCTGCACAAAGATCAAGCAGGATCCCACCCTGCTGGTGTATATTCTGGAGGTGAGCAGCCCCTGGGCATCCCTGTGCTGGTGGGACATGTATGGGGTCATCTATGGGGTCTGGCTCATTTAACTGAGCTTTTTCACGTGCTTTGCAGCTCCATCCCCACCGCAAAGCTCCTCGGGGTGAGTGGGAGGAAGGTGGTGGATACGATGCTTTGCTGCTCCTCTTCCTCTCCAGGGCAAGAGCATCCTGAATGGGAGGAGAGCCCAGGAGCTGCCGGCCAGCCCTGTGAAAGAGGGTGCAGAGGATCCCCCGGGCACCGCCGCCGCTGCTGGGTGCCCCCCAGCCGAGCCCTCCCCGCCACGGAGGGACAGCAACCTCGTCACGTCCTTGGTGGGGCTCTGCAAGAGCAAGGTAGGGGGAAAAGGCTGGCAAGGAGGGGATGGCGGGCACCGCCGGTCGTGTGACACCGCCTCTCTCCTCCTCCTCCTCGCAGAAGAGCAGGGTCGCGCTGAAGGCTCGGGAAAACCTGCTCTTGCTCGTCGGGCTCGCCCAGGAGGCAGCTGCTGCCTGCCTGGTGCGGAGCAGCGTCCTGTGCCAGCTGCACCGACCCTGCCGATGTCCTCGCCCTGGAGAGGGCCAGCTGGAGGTAAGGTGGGCGCCGGGCAGGGTGGTCCCCAGGCACCGCCGAGGCTTTGCTGCAGCCCCACGTCCTCTACCCCACGCAGGTCACAGGGTGATGCTGCCGGCGATGGGGTTTTCCCGGGGAAGGAGAGCCTGGCTGCCTTCTTCGGCTGGCTGGACTACCTCGATGAGCTGGTGATGGGTGCCCACCCGGTAAGGAGCGCCCGGCCGGCCCTGCAGAGCACGGCAGCCCCCTGCCCGTGCTGCGGCTCAGCCTCTGCCGTCACCCACAGGTCGTGGCAGATGCCATCGCTGAGGCCGTGGAGGAAAAGTTTTTCCAGGGCACCCTGCAGCCGCAGCTCCTGCAGATGTGAGTGTCTGAGGCACAGGACAGCAGCTGGGAGAGAGTTTCTCTATCAAGGACCCCCTCGGGGCCGGGACCACGGGGTTCCCCTTGCCTGCACCTCCTTTTTCCCCGCTGTGAGATGCCGTGGTACTGTCTCAGGACACCCCTTGCAGCATCCCACCCTGTCCCCAGCAGGTCTGAGCTTGCCGTCCTCAGCACCACAGCCATGCTGACGGGCACGGTGCGGCAGATCCACTCGTCCCCCCTGCTCCACCGCCTCGTGCTCTTCTTACTGGGGCCGGACCGGCACCCCGAGACCCCGGGGGATGCCCCCCACCCTCTGCGCACCCAGCTCATCGACCGCTGCAACCACCTCTCCGATGAGGTGAGCCCCACCCTGGGGTGGGGGCAAACGGGCAATACTGGGGGACTGTGCCGGTGGTCTCACCCCGCTCGCCGTGCCGCAGATCAGCCTGGCCAGCCTACGGCTCTTCGAGGAGCTCCTGCAAAAGCCCCACGAGCACGTGGCACACAGCCTGGCGCTGAGGAACCTGGAGGCGAGGGGCTACCTGCAGCGTGGCCCCCCCATGCCCGATGACCGTGGACCCCCTGAACTGGACCCCGATGAGGACGGGCTGTGAGTTGGGGGGACCGGGGCAGGGCGAGGGGGGGCAGCGCCCTGGCACCCACCCAGCTAATGCCCCTGCGCTGGCCCCACAGGGACCTGGAGGAGGATCCCTATTTCACTGATGGATTCCCAGATGCCGGCTTCAGGATGGCGAAAAAGCCTCCGCTGGGATCAGCCCCATCGGCGAAGGGGCAAGTGAGCGAGGTGGTCAGCAGGTAGGGATTTGCAGGGGCTGCTCTAGCATGGAGGGGGCTGCATCCCCCCTCCACATCCCTCTCCCCTCTCTTCCAGCTTCCTCTGCCTGGTCCCCGAGGAGGCGAAGACCTCCTTGTGCATGGAGGAAGGCGGCTACGACACCTACGTGCACGATGCCCTGGGCATGGTGAGCGGCTGGGGGGGGTCCCCATCCCTGGCGGTGCTGGCCCCCACTCCGGCTCTCACCCACCATCGCCCCCCCGCCAGGTCCAGGCGTGCCGTGCCAGCGCGGCCCTGTGGGGGTGGCCACTAGCCCCCCGGCCCCTCGATGCCTGCCATCCCGAAGTGACATTTTACGAGGGCCATTTCCTCAAGGTGCTGTTTGACCGGATGACTCGGATCCTGGACCAGGTAGCGGGGTGGCCAGCCGAGATGCCGGGGACGTACCCGGGTCCCTACTGCCCTCTGCCCCTTGCCTTGACATGGCTGGGGGGACTTTTCCCCCCAAAGGGCTCTCCGCTTGTCCCCACTATGGGGGTCCCAGGGGCGGGGGGAGGGACACAATTGGCCACGCCAGCTCCTGCTGAGCGTCCCCCCCGCTGTCCCAGCCCTACAGCCTGAACCTGCAGGTGACCTCGGTGCTGTCCCGCCTGGCCGCCTTCCCCCATCCCCACCTCCACGAGTACCTGCTGGACCCCTACCTCAACCTGGCACCCGGCTGCCGCTCACTCTTCTCCGTCCTCGTCAGGGTAATGTCACCTGCTGGGGTGGGGGGGACGGGGACATCCCCCCTTGAAACGGAGCCTGATTCTTCCTGCTCCCTGCAGGTGATCGGGGACCTGATGCAGCGGCTCCAGCGTGTGCCCCATTTCAGGGCCAAGCTGCTCCTGGTGCGCCGGCAGCTCATGGGGCTGGTGCCCGGCGAGCAGTAAGTGGGGGGGGGGGGGCAGGGGGTCCTGCAGGGAGCGGCCTGCCATTGCTCTGGCCAAGGGACCGCCGGAGGGGCCCCCCGGGGCTGCGGCTCCCCGGCCCCCCGCCGAGCACCCGCTCTTCGGCCGGGCTGTGGTGGCCACCGGGGATGGCCCAAGCCATGTGCCGGTAGCCTCAGACCGGCATGTCCCCAGTAGCTGGGCATGGTGGTGGCATCCCAGGAAGGACACTAGCCTCACAGCGCCCGGCGAGGAGGAAGAGGAGGCACAGAGTCCTTCACCACCGCCTTGGCCAACCTGGAGGTGATGCCACGTCCCCAGTGCAGGATGCGGCCCCTCTGGGTGCAAAGTGAACCGTGCCGCCTTTCCTCCTGGGTGGTGGGTTCCTGCTCCCCCTGCCCCATGTCGGAGCTGCCCCAAGCCCCCACCAACCTCAAGCAGGATTTTTTCTGGCAATAATGGGATGCGTGGGCACAGTGCTGTCCTCTGCCGGCGTGGGGCAATGCCACCCCCTCGGCTGCAATAACTCAATCATCTCCCGTGGTGCTGGGGCATGGGGTGCATGTGTGCATACGTGTGTGTGTGTGTGTGTGGTTGTGGCTCCTGCCTGGCAGGGACGGTGCACCCCGAACCCCGCCCAGCCGGACACCCTGTCCCCTGGGTGATGGGACTCTGCTACAATAAAGCCGTGAGCTCGGCACCACGCGCTGTGCCCCCGCCATCTATACTGCGCCCGTCCCCCTTCCCAAGCATCCCCCAAAACCGGACTCCCCAATCCCTCCCCCTTCAACTGCAGCCAGGTGGATGCAAGAAGCAGCAGCCGGGTTTATTTCTGATCTGGCTGGCTCTCGGCCCTCCCCATGCCCTGCCCCAAAACATCCCCCCGGCCACGGGCAGCACATCGGGGGCTCTCCCCTTCAGCACTGCAAGCAGGACCCCCCCGGCCACATGTCCCAGCTGGACCCCCCGTGCCCAAAGCCGGGCTGCCGGGGCTAACTGGGCACTAGCTGCGGACAGGCACCGTGGCCGCAGCATGGAGCCGCTGCAGGATCCTGCCCCTCAGGCTCTCCTCCTCCACTCGCCACCAGTGGAAAGCAGGGCTGCGGGGCTCGGGGGGAGCAGCCCTGGCACTGCCAGGTGGGATGCTCAGCAGCATGTTGAAGCAAATACCATCGCCCCCCCCGGGACCCCCAGCCCGGTGCTGCAGCCCCAGCAGCCCCAGGGGTCCGGGGCAGGGGTCCGGTGGCAGGCAGTCCCGCAGCAGCCGCAGCGCAGGGCGGGGGGGGGCCCCCCCGGGGGCCACCGGGGGCGGGGCGGC